GGTGCACATGTGCCCTGCGTGTTCATGCAGAACCTGCTAAAGGGATTTACAGATCATATAATCTAGTTTTCACTAATCTAATCCTCACAAAATGGACAGTTGGTTTTAAAAGATCCCAATAAAGGAACTGTGGATTGAAGATAATGCTGATCAAGCATGCTCAAGTGAGCGACAATACCAAGCAAGAATGTGCGGGACCCGTACTTCCACCCCTACTTGAACTCTGAGCAGCTGCATTTTGATTCACAATCCCATGGTGGCATAATCAGATCTGGCCAGAATTCACATCCCAAATGGTCAGAAATAAAGCAATTTTTGCCTACTCTCTAACAATGAACTTCCACGCGTGTGTTATGTCTTATGGTGTTAGTTAATGACATTTTGGCACAACACTTGAACGGGAACATGTTTCTACAGGTTTTCTTTAGGGGAACTTTCCCACCATTACATAACATTCTACATATTGCAACCTAAATTTCACAATAATGAATGAGACATTTTGAGATTTCTTAGTACATGAGAACTAGTTATAGTTGTATGACAACTAGTACATTAGTCATGCCATCATGACACTGCAGAATGCTCAGTTTTATTCCAGCTTTTTAGATCTATTTCTACTGTCAGAAGTTGTTACTGTTCAACTGCCTCTGGGGAGACTGCTTCATCTTCTGCAAACCTAGAACATTCCCTACTCATTGCCCTCCATGTAGCACCATACTGTATATATGGTAGATCATGGAAATTGTCCTTGGACATTTTTGCCTATTCTTTACTAAATTCTATGGGTATAAATTTATTAGTTTTTTCCTTCAAGTTTTTCATAGTAACTCGTGAAAGGAACTAAAAATCATGAAACATTTAAGTTGAGCTTATGAAAAATCAATAAAAAAAATCAATGACAACATGCATCTTCAAATGTTGGCACTTTCTTTTATGAACTACTCCACTCAATTTATGGCAAGAAAGAAATAATTTCATAAAGAACTGTCTTTAGCTACACATCTCCTGTCACCGTGCTTGCAAATTAATGCTGTAGCAAGACTGCTCAATCATACCGACGTAGGAAGTTCTAAAAATCGCTTTTATTCCGGCAACACAAATAAAAAGTTCCAAATCAGAATTGATTCTGTCAAACACTAAGATGGTTGACTTTCAATCTTGAAGAAATGTAAACTTAAAATCAAAGCCAAAGTTTGCTTTTTCTCGTCGCCCAGTAAGCCTGAACATACATCCGCGTGCATGTATACGTTCTTCGGTCTCCTTCCATCAGCATTCAACAGCCATGGATTTACTCGGTTTGATCTAGCCAGTTTACAGTGTTTTTTGTTTTGTTTTGTTTTGGTTTGGTTTGGTTTTTTACTCATACATTATCAATTAAAATGTTGCTAAAATCAAAGTCTCCATGCAACCTTACGTTTGAAGTCTTCTGTTATCATGGACAGTACCAAGTGGACAGGCCTTTGAAAATGATGCAATAAATAAAACCCGTGGCAATCCACCCGGCTAAAATAAATGTACCCCAAATCAATGGCTCTTTATGGATAAGCAAGCATTTTGCATGATAATGAATAATGCTATAAATCCTGCAATATTGGATTGCAAATAACTCCAAGGGAATAAAATTGTATGACATGGATTTACTTATTCTGCACGTTCACAACAACTTGTTCTCTGACAGCACTCTTTCTTGGCAATTTACCACAGCTGTCAGCAGCCAATTTGTTCAGATTACCGCTCTGCATAAAAGTGTAGCAATCATGAGGATTTATTAGCTGATTATCGTAAAGGTGGCAGTCCATCTTGCTTGCCAAAATGCAGGTGATCAGAAAGTTAAATAATTACATGCAGATTAACGTGATTTCACCTTCCCCTGACACGAGCAGTTCAGTGACAGGTAAAGTTTGCCATTCAAACTTGCAATAGAGCGTACGTTCCTCAGGTTGTCCTCATAGACTCTTTGGTATTTTATGGAGCCTTTCACAGCGTTAGGAGAACTTGCTGAATGCAAGAATGATCTTGAAATAAGGGTGAACTGGAGACAGAAGACCTGAGTGTAAAACTCAGACTCATGGTCCCATTTGCACACTCACTGAGCAACTCCCTTCTCTCCTTTGGTTTCACTATTTGCAATTGCAAAACAGGTTCAATGTTGTTGCTCCTAAATGTTGAGAAGTCCTCGCCTTGCACGTGCCGGGATCTCATATGGGCGCTGGTTCTAATCCCGGAAGTCCCATTTCCCATCCAGCTCCCTGCTTGTGTCCTGGGAAAGCAGTCGAGGACGGCCCAAAGCCTTGGGACCCTGTACCTGCGTGGGAGACCTGGAAGAAGCTCTTGGCTTTGGATTGGCTCAGCTCCAGCCGTTGTGGCCACTCAGGGAATAAACCATTGAGCAGAAGATCTTTCTCTGTCTCTCCTCCTCTCTGTATATCCTCCTTTCCAATAAAAAAAGTTAATAAATCTTTTTAAAAAATTCTCATGCACTTTAAAAAAGATTTAGTTTTTATTTAAGAAGTAGATTGGGGGCGGGGAGGGAGAGGGAGAGAGAGAGAGAAAATATCTTCCATTCATTGTTTCAATCCCCAAATGGCTGCAATGCCCAGAGCTGAGCTGGTCCAAATCTAGAAACATCTTCCAGGTCTCCTATGTGAGTGCAAGATCCCAAGGAAAAGAAAACAGGAGGTCACCATAACGGTTTTACTTCTGTTACTTTACTCTCAAATGTAATTGGAATGCAAGTCAAGTGCATTCTAAGCTATTCTTGGAGTTAAGGAACTCTATTGCAATCTGCATTGTCTCCTCTGTTAGTCTGCAACCTTCAAATAAGCAAACACAACTTTCAAGCCATTTAGGTATAATGATAGGCTTGCCAGTGACAGGATGTATTTAAAGTTCAACGTAACAAGCATAAAGTTAGACAGTGAGAGCTGCCCATGTTATCCGGACATGATTTGAAGTGAGTATTTCACCACGGTCATTTCCTTCGCCTGCAGTGGACATCTTTGTTAATCAGCAGACCACACAGCAAGGTTGGAGAGTGCACCTTTGATGACCTCCAATTCAACAACAATTCTCCCTCATTTGGTTTCAACTATGTGTGTGTTCCCTTCTTTCTGACTCTAAAAATGTTTACAGGAGATGCCTATTCTATAAAATCTATGCACAGACTTGAAAAACTCATGTACCCACCTTTTAATTTCATTAATACAATAAAAAAAAAACAGGTTTCTTCTTTCCCAAATTACAAGATACCTTCCCAATCTTCCTCAGCTACTTCTGAAACACTCCTATGATCTTTCATTCAGTTTTCTGTCACTGTCCTCTCCACATTTGCTAAACTGGAGACGAAACCATAGAAACAACGTGAAATGAGATGAGTAACCACTTCTACCTTGGAGGAACCCCTACCACCATCATGAGACAGAGGCAAAGAACTGTAGCAAATGGGGTGAGAAACTGTCATACTTTGAAAATTTGGAAATTCTTCAAAGTAAAAAATAGATGTAAGAAGGTACCTGTCACAGTAAAATGAAGTAAAAAGTGAAATAGGAGGACTTTGTTAAATCTATACTCAGATGAGCAGGAAGCCAGTATGTTGCACAGCATAATCCTCTTCATTATTTTACCAACATACGGAAGTTGGAATATAATATAATGAAATTATGGGAGCAAGTCACACATGGCCATCACTATGATTATCATGCAGGCACTAAAGATAACCAGTGTTGTCATATAGTGTGAAAATGAATTAATCATTCAAGAAATAGTTGGACCTTACCTCACCAAAAGAGCTAATAGGCTACTAACGGAGACAGGATGACGAACCCATAACCACAGTGAAATGTGTTCAGTGTGTTAACAGATGTGCCCTGCTAGTTCCTAGTAGTAATCCCCAAAGAGAACATAATAAAGCTTAAAGAAAACCCTGAAAATAATGCCCACTCGAGGGAAAGTTATGCAAAGAAGGCCTGTACTTTAAAAAGGACTAAATCAGAACATAGCATTGATTATACTGTTTCTTTTTTCAAATTCCATTTTATAAGCAAAATAGGAAAGATTAACAGAAACTAATTGTCAACCTTTTACTTTAGAATCCTATGATGAAAATGACTGCTTAAAACATATGGCAAAATCATAAGTAAACAAGCACATACATTGGATTGGATTCCTATTCTTACTTTTTAAGAGTAAAATTCCCTTATTGTTAATACATATGCATTTTCATCAGAGTGTACATTTAAGGATTTGTAATTCACGTGAGCCACAATCAATAAGTACTCTTAAACTTACTGTATAATTTCTTTTATCTCATTATTTACTGGCTGTTCTCAAAGTATTCTGTTACCAACGCACACACCTGATTTTCCAAAAATATATTTTAAAAATCAGTTTTTTTTTAAAAAAAAACAATTCTGACTCAAGTTATCCTACGAAAATGAGCTTAACTTGGTGAAGAAATGGCACGTTGTTAGAAACACTTCTTTCTTAACTGCGGTTGCAGATGTATATGCGTCTGCCCCACTTAACGTGCTCCTTTTGCTAACTCACAGGAACTCTTCTACAGATTTATGAACTCCCAAAAGATTATAAAGATTCCCTACTTTGTAGGGAGTTGTAAGAAATAATGTATTTCATGGTCACAATGTGCTTTGTGAAAATAAGTACGGTCTGAGATCACTGGAGAGCCTGAATATGCTCTTTGTTCCATCAAGCATCTCATATCAGATGAAATTCCTCCTTCTCAACTCCCATAACTTTTGTGCACCATGTTTCTGACATCTGGGGAAATTTTCTAGAAATAAGACTTGGGAGGACTCGTCTCGAACAACTGGTCAAAACTGCCACCTACTGGTCAGTCTTCAAATCTGCTTTTCAGTTTAGCCAAGCATTGTTTCACTGTGGCAAGACAGGGAAAGGGCATTTATGACCATCAAAGTATAAACATTCTTTTTAACAAAACTCAGACTCTCCAGAGTGAACCAAAAATGACCAAGGGCACCAACCTGCCGATGAAATCGTCCCTTTTTCCAGCATCCTTGTCCCACGCTGTGATATCAATGATTCCTCCTCTCTCCTCATAGAGATGGAAATCAAATTGTTCTCGCCACTGAGGATTCAAAGTTTTTGGCATAATCTGGAAAACGCAAAGTCATGATTGCTTTTCCATAGAAAAATCACTAAAACATTTGACTTAGCACTCCCAATAAAACTGGAAAAAGAATGTACATATCCATTTGAACAAGAATCCAGAAATAATAGGAATAATACAGAAATAACTGGACCTCTACGACCTTTGTTATTGAAAACCTGAGTAGATGCTAAGGAATGTGACCTGTAAATCAGATGACATCTCTTGATAATCTTCAACAGGTTACAAAAATGTGAATTATATAGAAAACAGAAGCAGTCTAGAAATTAAATGGCTCAGTCAGACGCCAGCATTTATTCTGTATCATCACTGTAAAGGTCTCGTTCTCGGTTACCTCATCCTAAAGGAACATGAGGATTCTGAGGCTTTCCTTTTTTTTATCGTTAATTTGCACACACACTGGAATCCTGAGCTCAGTACAAGAAAAAGAGATCAGGCAATTCCAAGAGAGTGGGAGGAAAAAGAGAAATGAAAGTCAAGGATTTCTACCTTGGAATGTCAACACCACCAGACCGACCTTGTTGCATACAGGGAGGGATTAAGACTGGGTGTTTCAATGAGCCACGAACGCTTACTATTTGTTGGGATCCAGGATTGTTCCCTCAAGGCCACATGCAAAATGATCTTTGTGCCCTAGTAAGTGAACACAGATATGTGCGGGTAAATAGATATATGTTTACACACACACGTATGAAGCACTTTTTACATATCATATGGGAATATGTATGTGATATGTATATACACATTTTAAAAGTTCGTGGAAAATAGAATCAAAATATAAATTTATTTTGGTGCAAAAATTTGAAATCCATGCACATTTTTTCCTGAGGTCGGGCAAGAATGAAGTAAGGAGCCTGGAACTCCATTGGATTCTCCCACGTGGGCTCTGGGTACCCCAGAACCGAAAGCACTTCTTGTCTGCCAGGGTGCACCTTAGCAAGAAGGTAGAATTGGGAGCGAAGCAAGACTCCAACCCAGATACTTTGGAATGAACATGTATAAGTGTCCCAAGTCGTGTCTTATATGCTTTGCCAAACACCCACAGCCTAATATAAATTTGTTAATATACATTTCCCCTGAGTTTTTGATCTCTCTCTCATATACATAGATTTCATTTTTTTTTGTACTCCAAAGATTTTTATTTCAGCCTCCCTGAAGCTCTTAAAGTAGCTCATACATATCCTTCATGTTGTATGCACAAGAGAAGTGCACTTCTTTTTAAAAAATTATTTCTATTGGAAAGGTGGATATACAGAGAGGAGGAGAGACAGAGAGGAAGATCTTCTGTCCAACGGTTTACTCCCCAAGTGGCCGCAACAGGTGGAGCTGAGCCAATCCAAAGCCAGGAGCTTCTTCCAGGTCTCCCACGCAGGTACAGTGTCCCAAGGCTTTGGGCCATCCTCGGCTGCTTTCCCAGGCCACAAGCAGGGCTGCCGGGATTGGAACTGGCGGCCATATGGGATCCTGGTGCATGCAAGGCGAGGACTTTAGGCACTGGGCCCCAGAAGTGCACTTTTTAACTAAGAACTCAGATAAGAAACTGAGTAGACTCAATCAACCAAGTGACTTCTATTGAGCTGTTTAAAATCCCAGTCATCACTGCCCTAAACAACACTCCTATTTGTTTCCCTGCTCTTTCTTTTCAGCTGGAGGACATACACTAGTCTTTTCTTTTTAATGTATGACTGACAGATATTCAGAAGTAAAGAGTTTGGAAGCAGTGAAGTATGTTATGTGCAAAGGTAATGAAAATGAATCACAATTTTTAAAGTTCATAAACTGAAGTTAATCAGTAATAGATCATGGCAAGAAAGAGCAAAGAGAGGCACATCTCCATAGCTGGGCTCCATATTTTATTCCTAAAGAGCACAACTATAAAAATAAGTAATGTTTTAAGCCTACCAGAATATGGAAATGATGTTATCTGAGAAAGGACAACCCAGAAGTGGTCATAGGTACCTATTTTTGGAATCTGTAGCTACTTTAAAATGTCTTCAGCCACACATGTGGCCCTGGGTGAACGCTTTGATAATTCATTTGTCTTATAACGGGGCTCAGATGAACTGTGATGGTACTTTTGGGGTGTATTCTGTCTTCTTTATCTAGCCATAAACCTTAAACTTATCCAGTTTCTTTTTTTAGGATTGTCTTCCCTGCAAAATTTTGTTCTGGAGAGAAACGAAGCCATCCCTTTGCACTGGCAACTCCACGAGGTTAGAAGCCAGCTGCCAGCAGGACTCACTGCGGGTTAATGAGTCAGCTCTGGGGATTTCTGACTTTCTGAAGCAAGCATATAAACTTCCTGGACCAGGAGGGATCTCGGCAGGTTGTTCATCAAAATCCAGGACATCGACACCAAGGTGAAGGAAGTCCCATCAAATGAAACATGATCTTCAGTACGCAATGTTCAGGATCAGTTAACTCTAAACATGAATTATACCAGCATAGAGGTCATGGTTGAATGCTGCATTAACACTATACTAATGTAATTGGATGCTCCCAGGATACAGCTCTCAATATCATGGCTTTTACTAATTTTATTAATTAAACCAACAGTATAATGATAATACTATTCTTATTTAATATGATGCAGTCATGTACTGTATAACATAAGAACATTTTGGTCAAGGATACAGTGCAAATACAACTGCAGTCCCATGTGATTTCAATGGAACTGAAATTCCTATGACTTTGTGCTATGTTGTAGCTCAATGCCAGCACTCCAGTGCTTGTGGTGGTGCTGATGTAAGCAAACCTGGTACAATGCCAGTTGTATAAAAGTACAGCAACACAGTGAAGCGAAAGGACTACTTTACTGACATATGTATTGATATTGACTATAATCTTTCTTTTTTTTTTTTACCATTAGCTTATACACTTTATGCTTACAAAAAAAAAAGTTTACTGTCCAACAGTATGCTGTGTTGTAGCCCAGGATCTCCCACACTTTGTGTTTACAATGGTCTCTTGATTGTTTAATTTTTCCTTGCATTTGATTTCATCTCATGCTGTATCATTCATTCTAGCCCTAGGAGCAATACACTCTATCATCTAGTCATGTATGTATCTATTCATCCATCCATCCATCCTTTATAGCCTTGCTACATCATGGGCTACAACATCTAAATTCATGCTAAGCAATACCTGACTACTACTAATGTAATGATCGTTATATACCATAACTGCTGCTACTCTTCTGTCAATACCATCTGTTGAGTGTCCACAATGGGCGAGGCACTCATCTTAAGTTTTTACATGAATAACATATATCCATCAAATCTCCTCCATAACTTTGTTAGCTGACATTCGTTTAGTTGTGAGTTTTACAGATAGAGAAATTAGGGCCTGTAAAGACAAAATAACTTGTCCTGCAGTATGTCCCTTGTTGTAGCAGCAGGAATTTGATCCTTTGCTTCCACATCAATTTAGAAACCTGCGTACTGCACTGCAGCCATTCAGGTTGGGTCAAGTGAACTAGAATAATGTGCGAAGACTCTGGGCATGTGATGGGAGATTTTGAGGTATTTTCAGGACTGATACTAGTACCTGTTGTCATTGTCACATCAGTCAGTACTCATTAAGCTCCTCAAATGCAGACTTCCACTAGGCTCCTTACAGGTGATTGCTTCTTGTTCTTTTTAAACATCTGCACAGGTACACTAAGAGATAGGTCTTACCATGTTTTTTGTGTTACAGCTGAAAACACTGAGACAGGGAAGTTAAGAAGTTTATCCAAGGCACATCAAGGAACAAATGTAATGTAGTTGTCAGTCTGGTCTGCCACTGTATTCAGAAGAAGTTGTGCTAAGCATTTAAAAAAGTGTCTACTGCTTTCAGCCCCCCGAGATTGGCCATTCATCAGCTGGTGTCCTGTAAACAGTGACATGCACACACAAGATAATAGAGGGCTACCTTGCTCTTGTACTTTTGATGTCCAAGACGAAACTTGACATAAGGATCGCTCAGCCCATTGGAGTCCATGGCCTTCAGGTCTCGCCCCTCAATCAAGGTGATGCTGACGATTCCTCTCCACAAGTGTGATTTTCTGTGTAGGTCTGATAGACGTAAACTTTGGGTCTGAAACTTTAGTCAAGGGAAACTGAGTTAGTTTATTGTATTTGAAATCCAAATATCTCATTAATCCTTCCCTTGTTGTTTTAGATTTTCTTTAACAAAATGGTTAAAATTTTAGAAAAGATTTATGGAGTATTATGTACTGATTATAAAATTGTTAACAAACTATAAAACTATCTCATGATATATTTTTGTATTCCAGAGAGTGCTCAAAGAATATTAATTTTTAATATTGTAAGACATATATACTTCAAAAAATCAAGTTATTCTGAGTGTCAAATACATTTTTGTCAAAATACATAAAAATATTATAAATCCCAAAGGTTTTATATTGTGATATTTAATTTTAACATTAATGGTTTCTGAAGATCTATCTTTTTCTTGCTACAAATGGACTTTTTAAGTTGCAAGAATAGTTGCAATTTGTTTGGGTACTTTAAAAACTTTTTGCCATGTTATTTGAAAGCTGAATTTTGCTCAGAAGAAAACTATTTAAGTGTTACGGAACAGGAAACTCGATCATTATGCCAACCTAAGATGTCTTCCTTATGTCTGAAACATGCATCACAAATATTTTAGATTGTTTTTAAAATTACATATCTGATTTATATTGGCAAGTATGTTTCTGGATTTACTCCATTCATTTCGGAATCTGATCAACTTTCTTTAATGATTTTTACTATGCTCAATTCTAAATCACAATATTAAAAACTGTGAGCAAAATAGGAATTCTAAAAAAAGTATGTCTACTGGAGATGGTCATATTAAGTCTTGAAGCAAATACTATAGGAACAAGCCAGAGAAAGTAATTACATATTCAACACCAACCAATGCTATAGAATTACCATTTTCCTTACCAAAAATGTTTCTTCTACTTATAGGCATTTCATGAAGAAACCCTCGATCCTGAGGTAGCATACTTCTAAATTATGAGTTGCTCCTTTTCTACCTAACCCCTTCTAGCTAACATTATAAAGAGCCTATTTCAGGTCTCTCATCCTCTCAGTTAAACTACTGACCCTCTTCCATTTCATATCAATTCCACAGGCATTTTATTCATCATCATCAAAAACTCATGCCTTCCAGGATACTTTTCACGGAAAATGAAAACTAGACCCTTTGAAAAGTAATATTTTTAATATCTGAACATTCCAATTGAATTGTTTCTAAATAGCATTGTATATTGCCCTTGTGCCTTGTGAAAAGGAAGTCTTGAATACATTGCTGGGAGTTCAGGCTTGTGAATGTCAACATAGGACTTGGTCTCCACACTTCTCTGTGAGCTCAAGTGTGTGACTGCGTTCCACCTAACAGTGAGGGGTTTGTGGGGGTACCCACAATGCCATCAGATTCCATGCCCACTTCAATAACAATCCAATCCATCTGCTGCCTATACAAGCACTGGCTTTCTAGAATGGATTTTATTTGAACAAAGATTAACATCTATCTAGAACCTGTTGCATCAGGGGTGGTCAAGGTTTTTGTTTTCATTTTGGTTCAGAGAGTTAACGTGTTTTAGGATTAGAAAATGCAGCAAGCCATTTCAGCCTGTGAGCGCTTGGGTGACTGATCCCCTTGCTTGTACAGCTGGCGACACTGCCTGGAGCAGCAGACGCTGGACAATCAGGCCGGATTGTCCATCTGACATTTCTGTTATGGGATATAAGCGCAAAGGAGGAAAAGAAGGGAAAGCAATACCATGCAAAGCAAGGATGATTATCTTAGCAACGACCAATATGCTAGAAACTGTCTATTTATAGTGAGCTTTAGGATCATTTGGTTTCCACTAAAACCTTACGAAGCAGGAAGGCAAGGGCTCTTAACCACACTTGACTGATGAGGGATCTAAGGCTTGGAGTGCCCGGACTCACCAATGGTGGGCATGGGACTAGAATCTTACTATTTCTGGCCTTGATTCCTGAGCTTCTCCAAAAGTAGGTGTTGAGGGTATACTCTCTTGTTGGTTTAAAGGCCCTGGTAATTTACACGGGATGCTGCCACAGGGTCTTCTCCAGGCAAGCATACTGGTTACAGTGCAGATTTTCCTCCATGGTAATTCATGCAACCACCCTGAGTTATCTTGTGTGTGAGGACATACAATTACAACGGCTCAACTTGTTGCAGCTTCAGGCCATTTTTCATGAGTTCTTTAGAGGATGGATGTTACACCCAATACTTAGACCAGCACCAATCAAATTTTTGGTGAGACTGTCAGAACTTCTTCCATGTTAGTAGTTACTTTTAGGGAACTTATTGTAGGAGTGGTATTGAACTAAATTCCACATTTAAGCAAACTCTGAAAACTCCCAACTCTGATGCTTTCTGAGTCATTTGTTTGCCTGTTTAAAAAGATTTCCTTCTGCTGTGGAGGTATTTTCTCAATGAGTGGCCCACAGATCAGTATCCCTTCTGGGAACTTGCTAGAATTTCATATTCTTTGAATCCATCCCAGTCTAACCACCTCAGGGACTCCAGGATGGATCCTGAATGCTGGTTGCATCTGCTCTTCAGATGGCTGATATACCTGTTCCAGCATGAGAAAACCTCCATGAAAGGATGCGTGTACAGCGTCCTGGACCTGCTCTCCCACTAGGTCACAACACCTACTGTTAGCAGAATCACTAACACTTCCCACCTTCTGGCACACATTATTTCTGCCACGTAAATTCCTTCTACAGTATTCAGGAAAAGACTGCAGTCTAGCTATCTGGAGCACATAAAAGCATTAGAAGCCCTCCGGACAACTAAGACAAGGTCCATTTAACTTTCTTCCTTTGTAATTTTAAGTCATAGAATGCATGTTAATAACACATATTTCCTGAAGGGTTGATGATCAGTCAGCAAAACATCACTTATGGAGTACCAAAAGGGCAAGGGGTAACTAATCAATCCAAGATGCTTCTCAACAGAGTAGCCTGGTATGGTTGGTATTAGTTGTATTAGTTATTGAAGTTAGGTTTTCAAGCAGCTATTGATTATATTAGAGCTATTTCAGAAGGGAGAAAGAGAAAAGGACAAGAAAAACAAAATACAACTCAGCTTCAAAGCAAAGATTCAAGTCTGCAAAAGGAGAAAAAAAAATAACACACGGAGTTGTGAACTTTCAAAGTGGTCCTTTTAGTGGTCCCTTTGTTGACGTTGCATCTGGCCTTCCAGGCTGGGAGTCAGTTCTTGAAAAGTGCAGTTTCATGTTTACCTCAACATGTACCCACGTGACCCTCAGACCCACCAAAGGCACCACCATTTGCATAAGAAAAGTTCTTCCATGTGCCAAATTAAGGAAGAATAGCAAACTACCAGGTAACAACATTAACTGCAAAGTTGGAGATCAGCTAGTCAACAGCATGAGTTCTTACTAAGATTTTAGAAGTAGTAAGCTGGAACTCTAAAGAGTATATTAGTTGACTTCCATCATTTCTTTAAAGAAAAGAAAGCAAAACAAAACAAAACCTTGAACACAATTCCCTCTCACATGTATGGAACAGATGCAGAGGATCCGAGCGTTTATGTCAGGGCAGTGTTGGTTCTGAGAGCTGACAGCTCATGCAAGCCCCACAAAGGTACAGGAAACGAGCAGTGGCACTTACTTGTGTGCACGGAAGCTCTGCTCTGCAGAAGCCCAAGACTCGGGATGCAGGCCTGCCACGTGTCTGGATGGAAATGAACCATCAGAGCTGTCCAGAAAAGCTTTGCCCGACTCAACCCTCCCAAGTTTTAATCAGCATTTACAATTTCTTCTTCAAAGCCCAGAATTCGACAAAACAGATACTTGCTTCTCACACATCTTAGAAAATCTCTTTCTAGCACAGTGAGGATAAAGTGCCCATGCAATTCTATATAGTTCTCTTAGGAGAACGATGTTGCAGTGGTCAAGAAATAAAGCTCAGAGGTTACATGTGGCAGAAACTGCTTAGGTGCATTTAGGTTAGTAGACTGATGTGTCAGAGAAAAGAAACAGGGCAAAAGGAATCAGGAACAGTAATTTTTTCAACTCCATGGCTTCAAAACTTTTTGGAGTTATTTTCCCCTGGGGCCAAAATTCTAATGCTTGGAAAGAATGAGCATTACATGGACCAGAGCCAGCAAGTATGACCTGTTAACCTTGCATCAATCTGTGGGTCTCCCATAATGATTAAAGAGATGTATGTGATATTAGAAAAGCTTCACCTCATACAAGACTTCTTTTCTGTCTTTGCTAACCAAAGCAACCCCCTCCCCAAATCCTTTTATTAGTAAAACCAAAAGCAACGGAGCAGCGAGAGATGAACGAACAACGATACAGCTGGACAGGAAATCCTGGAGGGAAATTAAGATGGTGGAGCTGATGGTATGAATGAAAGGAGTTGGAGAGCAGCTACAAGTTTTTAAACAACAGTACTGTGATGGGAGGAGAGGTATCGGCCCTAATAATATCAACAAGGAGTTGAGGATGAGGTCAATCGAGAGAGGGGTTAGATCAACACAAATACAGAAATGCATCCAACAGTTAAGAGGTGCTGCAATTTTTGTACTTCTCATGACAGGCGTATCATTGTCCAGGCAAAGGATAAACAGGGCACAGACAGGACAAGTCTCTAGTCAAAAGGATAGAGATGGGCAAGGCTGACATTGGAACTTGGGGCTGCTGATACCTAAGCCATGATTTCTCCCATGAGATCTCATTTTGGGGACATAGCTCAAGAAGTTCATGATACAATAAAGAAGAAAAACTGGTACAGAATTTTTCAAAATGCTATGTCTTCCATTTAGATGCAATATTTTATAGATTATGAAGAAAGGCTAATTAGGAGCTTCAAGGAAGCCACAGCAGGCAGACGGTAATAATCTTAGCATATGCTACTCAGTAAAACATATGAGAATTAACTGTGTCATAGAATAAATTATAGTCTATTGTCTGCTTAAAACTGATGAAATTGTAGCCTCAAGCACATAATGAGAATACTTCTATATTCCAATTCTAGTTAAGAACTTTACTTATTCCCTAAAAACCAGATCAGTAGCAATAGGAC